TATATATTAATCATAGGACTTCTAACCAGAAAGTGATGGTGACTCTGTTCCTTCTGAGTTCCTCAAGTGAACATGTAGACCTTCTCCATCTCCTCTAGCCACAATTCATTGTGCTCATTTGCTGAGTGTGTTAAGTGCTGGATGTGTGCCGGGTGTTGGAATACAAAGGTGAATGAAACACCACCGTTGTGGCTGAGGGGATGACAGAACATACGGGAGAGCTTGGCGTGTCAATTAGTACAGGATTAAAGTGTCAGTCCGAAGTGGGGAGTGATCAGTTCTGCTTGCAAAGACACAGGTGAGAACTTGGAATGGCTTTGTAGGAGGTGACTCTGAGTTGAGCTTTTGTTATATGGACCTGGCAGGGAGGGTGATTCCAGGGAGAGGGTGCAACAGGAGTGGAGTTCATGTAAAAAGAGCCAGGCTGAGGCAGCCTGAGACGGCCCCACATAGAGATGAATCGCAACAGTAGAGAGGGGTTGGACTTTTTTTTCTCCAGGTGAGGGAGTTTGGACTTTGTCTTACAGAGAGCAGAAGCTATAAAATAATTTCTATCAGGGAAATAAAAGTAGTCATATTTCTTTTTAAAGACATCTCTGTCTAGTAATAGTGTGCAAAATGGTTTGCGTAGTGTAAACAGGAAGACATGGACTCCACCTGGGAAATTATCATCTTGCTAAGATAAAGAGAACCCGCTGAATGAAGGCAATAGCAAGGGGGACGTAAAGAAGAGCAAGCACTTGCGTGACATAAAGGAAACCCAATATGCGGAGCTTAGTGATTGAATGGATTTGAGTGAGAGAGAAGCACACAGTTTGTGGCTTGGATGACTGAGGGCGTGGATTGTGCTGCTATTCATGGAAACAAGGAAGGAGGATGAGCAAGATGGCAGAAGGGGCTGTACGGGGATATCCAAGGCTCCCAGCTTTGAACACAGTGTATCTGTAAAGATAAGGTCAAGCTAGATGGAACTTGAAGTGAGGAGTAGGTGGAAAGTTTTATGAACTGAGAAGAAAGAAAAGCCAAGAACAGAATGGGGTGGGGGGAGAAGGAGAAAAGGAATTGTTGAGATGGGAAGGAAAGTAGGATTGAGTGGGAAGAGACACTTTCCCTAAGAAGAGAGTGGTATGAATAGAGTTCTCCAGAGAAATAGAACCAGTCGTATGCTATGGGAAGATAATATTATGAGAATCTGGCACAGGATCTGCTGTCTGCAAACCGGAGACCCAGGAGAGCCAGCGATGTGATTCTAGTCTGAGTCCAAAGGCCTGAGAACCAGGGCATCAATGGTGTGAATTCCAGTCCAAGGTGGGGAGAAGCCTGATGTTCCCACTCACAAGACAGGCAGGAAACCAAAAGAACAGCGGGATCCCGCCTTCCCCACTTTTTGTTCTATTCAGACACCCAGAAGCAACGTTCAGCCTTGCCCAATGTAGTTGACACTAGAATTAACCAACATTGGGGGCAATACCTGCTGTCAAACCAGAGAGAAGGAATCAAGATGAGAGCTATGGTGGGCATTTTCTTTTCTTTTTTTTTTTTGGTACTGGGAATTGAACTCAGGGCCCTTGACCACTGAGCCACATCCTCAGCCCTATTTTGTATTTAACATAGAGACAGGGTCTCACTGAGTTGCTTAGCTCTTGCTGAGGCTGGCTTTGAACTCGAAATCCTCCTGCCTCAGCCTCCGAGCCTCTGGGATTATAGGCGTGCTCTGCGCCCAGCTCTGCCTTTCCTTTTTTGACCACCTTCCCTGTTTTTATTTCCCTCTTTTTCTTTCTTTTTTTTTTTTAAAGAGAGTGAGAGAGGAGAGAGAGAGAGAGAGAGAGAGAAAATTGAAAATTTTTAATATTTATTTTTTAGTTCTCGGCGGACACAACATCTTTGTTGGTATGTGGTGCTGAGGATGGAACCCTGGCCGCAGGCATGCCAGGCGAGCCCGCTACCGCTTGAGCCACATCCCCAGCCCTCTCCCTCTTTTTCTGACAGCTCCCCAATTTCTTACCGAATAAACCCCTCCTGGTCTGTGCTTCTGTGGTAGGACTGCAGGGGCACTCCACACTCCAAGTCACCAGGTCAGCAGGTGACCCAGGCTCAGCTGAGTGACCTTAGCTGGGACTTGGAAACTTGAGTGAATTCAATGCCAGCTGCAGTCCTTATCTGAAGAGACTGCTGAGGAACTCTTGCAACTTCAACTTCTTCCTTTACTTTCAAGGGCTCTGATATCCTTT